CAGCCAGAGTCCAACAGCTGAGAGAGCCAGAGGCATCTACAAGTGCTCTTCGCTCCGAGCAAAATAACAGCTGAACTGCAGAGCATTAATAAACAATTGTAGCAGGTTCAGGCAAGGAAAGGGCAGACACCTGTCCTCAACTCAACACAAGGCCATCAAATGCATATATATAGCAACATCGACAGAAAGAAAGAATTTTTATAGCATCTATCATGTCCACAAGCTTCTCAAGGAGCTTCACGAGGAATTGCTGTCAACTCACCGGTCTCCCATCCACTACCATCCATAAAATCCAAATCATTCAAAACTCTGCCACCCGCATTCTCACCCGCACAAAACTCCGCTCCCCGATCACCCCAGTCCTTGCCAGACTGCACTGGCTGCCTATTCCAGAGAGGATGGATTTCAAGATCCTCACCCTTGTATTGAAGTCCCTGCACTCCTCTGCACCCCCCCTACCTCTCTGACCTCCTCTCTCCTCGAAACAGTACCCGTTGCCTCAGTTCCTCCGGCCTTCTAGGATAAGGCCTTCAGCCAATGCCCCTGGAACTGCCTTCCACACTCCCTTCGTCTCACTCCCTCCTTCCCTATTTTCAGATCTCTGCTGAAGACCTTTCTTTTTGACCGTGCCTTTGGTCACCTTCCTCCCCTCCCCCTGGCTCGGTCCCGGAATCCGAAACTGTAAAGCGCTTTGAGACGCCATCTGGCGTGGAGGGCGCTGTATAAATCCAAGTTGCTGTTGTTGTTGTTAAATCCAAGTTGTTGTTGTTATTATTGTCGTGGGTGAACACAGCAGTTATTCTGTGACAGCAACGTCTCGAAAACAGCCATGAGGTGAATGACCAGTTATGTCTGGAGGGTTGTTGACTAATACACTGGGAGATGATTATATTTTCCAATAGTGTTTTGGGATCTTTAACAATTTTCTTTTAGACAGAGATTTGTTGGGACTGTGGAATCCATTGGAGTCCTGGGACGATTGGTTAGAATACTCACCTTGCAAATGAGAGGACCTGGGTTTGATTCCCGGGTGGTCAAAACCTTAGGCAAAGTTTAGCGGATTGCTTTTCGGGTGTAATAATCCCTCAAAAAAAAATGTGGTCACTCAGTCCATGAC